AGCTTTCGACAAAATCCTAGTGAACTTCCAACAAGCTTTCACTGCATTATCCGATCCGTCAATGTATCTCCCGATTCATTCGGCACGATGCCTAATCATTGACTCTAGCCCAACTTTGATTCTTCTTTAATCGTTTTGTCTTTCTTATGATCGTAGTTAGTCCTGCATCACTTATCTCCACATATGGATTAGATCATTAATTCACTAATTGATTTAATCATTAAAATCCGAGATTCAACAATCTTTACACTCACTCCAAACTTCATCTCTTATCACTTCTCATCTCTTATCACTTAATGTCATAACAAAACTCAAGATGAAGGAAGAGACTCAAATAGAGAGTTACAACACTTCACAGACTCAAGAATAAAGCACCATTAACCAAGTCGGAGTGAGATATTTATAGCTCTAAAAGACTTCCAAAATGAAGCCAAAATTTAAATTTTTGATACTTCAAAATACAAATAATACTATCATTGACTTCGGATATTACTACCATTGTAATCTTTGAAATAGAGCTACAATACTATACTCTTACGATACTTTTGTCGTAATTTTTGACACGAAGCTATAGTACTAGACTCCCGCAATATTATCACTGTAAATTTTTTTCACGAAGCCCTAATATTATACTTCGATATTACTATCATTTTTTGATATGACATTACAAAACTTGACTTTGATGTTAAGCCATATGTATTTTGATACGACATTACAAAATTTGATATGACATTACTACCATTGCTATAGGTATTTTAAGCCATATGTTTTGCCTTTTAATAATTCAAATTCAACTGCCTAATGATTTTCATGATAAGTGAAATTTATTTTAGTCCAATACCAACTCAAATTGGCCAAAAATTACCTCGACCAAGACCTTGACTCATCAACTACTCATCCATCATATCTTCGAAGCTTTTAGCACATTGCCCACTCTTCTGGCATGTTATCCGATTTTTTGACATTTCGTATGAACCTTCGACACATCGTCAATCCTTCAACATATCAAATTCTCCACAGTGACTGATCTTTCGACACGATACTTGATTTTTCCAACACGATGTTTGAATATCTAGTATGAAGTCCGTTCTTCAGTACGTCGATTAATCCTCCGACTCAATATCTCATTTTCGACACGATAATCTTCCGACACAATTTCCAACTCTCCTACTAGACATTTATCCTTTCAATGATCCAAGTTTATAATCAAAGTATTTCTTATATCACTTATCTTAAAAACATATTAATTTATTAAATTTATCAATTGATTTTATCATATCTGAATTTCAACATATATATCATTTGATAAATGTACAAGTAAAAAGATTATGAAGAGTTCATAGTTTTGATACAATATAATCTCAAGATTGGAGAACGGAGAATGTAAAAGCAGAGATATGAACAACTACTTCAAGGCCAGTTGGTGAATTCGAACACTTTAAAGACTATATCAATACCAGTTGGAATCTGCCATACAAACAGTAGAACATTTAAGCCATTCAGCGCAATGTGGAGGTTCCTGGCCGTCTCATTTCCTTTCTGCATTGCCGGCACAAGTGCAGCAGCTAATGCCCACAACACTGTTATCCCTGCAACATGTATGCAACAATGTTAAGATAACCACGGTCATCGAGGTACGAGAATAGCATAATTCATATCATTGATCGATAGCTACAGAAACTGTGTCAAAAGTAGTGTCGCCAATCACAGAATCCAAAAATTGGCACTGGAAACAAGTTATTTTCAATACTTACATCTACAAACAGTTCTAACACAAAAGACCATGCGATACATGAGAGCAACTTGGTTACATGATGGTGCTTATAACCTATCAGTATTACTTTAACAACAAATCATATCTAACCACAAGGGGAAAGTAGAAAAGAATGAATTTATGGATAAGACCATTGCATTAAATTAATCACAATGGAAACAACATATTTTGTTGGAAAATGAGAATTCCTTTCCTGTGCTCACCTTTTCTCCATTTCTCACATGAAAATAAAAGTAAGTGCCTCTTATCAGAGCTTACTTTTATGAAGTGAAACTATGAACTTACATACATATGCCTAGTATATACAATAGCAAATTAAAGGCGAGCTATTTGGATGGCCCCTGTATTGAAGGTAGCCATCTTACCAATCATTCACCTCATTCTTTGTAACTCTACATTACAACCTCAGAGATCTCAATCTTCAGAACCTTACATTGTAAAGATGTTCCATAGATATATCTGCATCTCAAAATTTCACTAAGAAAAAGTCCAACCGTTTGGTGCTTATGATAGCTGCTGGTGGATCCTCACTTCAAGAAACCTGATGACACTTTCCACTGTGCTACTTTCATGTGCATCTGAGTGTTTGCGTGTTCTCTGGTATATGAATCAGATATTACTTGTACACTGAAACTATAAGCTTACATAGATATACCAAGACCAAATTGCAGATGAGCTATTTGGACCAACCATGGATTGAAGTAAAGGCAGGCCATAAAGTTTGGTATAACCATCTTCCGAATCATTCGCTTTGTTCTTCAGAACCCTCAATTACAAATCAAATTAAGAGAACTCAATCTACAGAATAATACGCTGCAAAGATGTTCCTAACTATTGGTATATCTGCATCTCTTTCCTAATCACCAAGGGTTTTTTATTTTATACAATCCTTGAACTGGTGGCAATCACAATTTTTTTTCATACATTGGCAAGGCTTTATTTGCAAGAATTCAGACCTAAATTTGATCAACCATAGTATCCCGACTCGTATACACAATTTTTCATTGAATTACAGCAGTAATGGACTAAAGTATCAGATTGACCTTCAATCGATGTTTCTTTCAGAACTGTAGAGGCTTATTTTCTTGTCATAATGCATCCTGTTTTATTGTCCTATATCATCAAATTCAACAATGAAACATTGAGCAGATAAATGTTTTCAAAATATCAATAGAACTTGCATGATTTGATAATTAATAGAGAGATTCAGACAACAGTGTCTCTGTGAAATTGGCCGACAAGCAAAAAATCGAAGGTGGGCCACAAAGAATAACACGCTATCAGCTTTGCACCTAATTGTTGGACAACTTGAACTTGTAATCGTTCTTCAATCGGAAACAAATTTGAAAGTTATCCATCTCATTGAAAAAAACTGGCAGGCAGATAAGCATTTGAGAGGTCCATAGGTATATATCTGAATACATGTAAAATGGATACATGACAAGCTACATGATCAACAACTGTCAAACCTCTCCAAAACACTGACCTGAAATTTCCATTTATGAGTTGCAGAACTCAGTCAGACATCATGCAATTTTGTTTGATATGATGAGAACATTCGGGTCAGTCAGACTCTGGAAACTCCAAACTCCAATTTTTTGGGGCTGTTCAAACCGAGTTTTCACAGAACACCAACTGTTTCCATTTGATTTATAGCATCAGCAATCTGAATTGGTTATCAGGATTCGATCGGTTACTCTACAATTTCAGTCACACGTGACTATTCCCATTCTTTCCAAATTGATTTCCTGTTAAACTAAAGCATTTCTGATAATTTAATCCGGATAGATAAGCAGATATGACAATGGCATTCAATTTCAACTACAATCTCAGATTCCATAACAAATCATGAACTTGCAAATCATGGTATAGATGAAGTCTTAACACTGGTCACTTTCCGAACATTGAAAAGAGAAATTAATCATGAGCTCTGTTCTTGGTGAGATCAGTGTCTACATCATTCATCCACTGAATTGTTTCGTTTGGACATCAGAAACTATACGAGGAAATGTAAGGAAGAAGAATAGCATACCAGCACCAGCGAACAAATGGGGGCCGGGGAAGAGCTTTCCGGTCCGAAACCATGTATTGAGGCACCCACCCACCGCCTCCAACACCCCAAACGCCAGCAGTATGGACCCGGCGTTGAAGTGCCGCTCCCTGTAAGATCCCTTCAGCAACGCCTTCCTCTCCTGAAATCGCACAAGCACAACTAAAAATCTGATCATTAGCACAAAGACCTACCGAGATTTAGGGAGAGGAACGAGACGTACCTCGGTGAGCTGCTGAATCTTCGCTTCGATCGGAGACGGAGTCGGCGGTGGCGGCGGCGGTCCGCCGTCTGCCCCAGCGGCGACGGGCGTGGGGACAGCGGGCGCCACCTGCTTCTTGAGCTCGTTGATCTCGTTCTGGATGGTCCGGACCCGCCGCCACTGCCATCCCAAATATCCCGCCCAGAGCGTGTACACGAAGAGGCTGCCCATCACCACCGGGTGAACCAACGCGAAGGTCCGCCCTTCCAAGATCCCGAACTCCCCACCCACCGCGAGCGCATCCTTCGAACCAAACAGAACCACTGCTCCAGCTGAGGCCGAGATCAAAGTGGACAGATAGAGAGGAAATGACGTAGCTCACCTGAGGATTGAGGAAGAGAGGAAGGGAGAATGCAACGGCGGCGGCGGCGGTGGCAGGGAGGGGTGGGGCGATCGGGAGCAGGTGTTGGAGGCCAGAGGCAGAAGGAAGGGGGCCGAGGTGGCGTCGCGGCGGTGGTTTGAGGAATGGCTTACTGCTAGAGGAGGAAGGATTTGGGTTTGGGTTTGGGTTTGGGAGGAGGTTGAGGAGGCCGAGCGTCGCGGTGGTGGCCATCGCAAGGAGGTGGCGCGGACGGCTTCGGGCTCGTGGGCACGATAAGAGATGAGAGAGGGGTGTTAAGACACGAGCTATAGGGATATGGTTGGCCGCGAGACACGATGACGCGTGCTGTCCGTGCGCTGAGAGCGAAGGATAAGAGGGGGATTTCATTGGCCACGCGACGTGATGGATTGTGCCGTCCGGTATGCGTTCATTTTTGCCTAGCATTTCCCCTAACACGTTGCGGAAACACAAACTTTGTATAATATATAACGTGTTTGAAGAATTGCTTCGTTGAAGTGGCGGAAGGAAATTTGTAGGCAATAAACCTTTCTTCAATCAGACGGCCATACGATTCATACACTGATACTGAATGTGAGGTAAATTTGTACATTCATTTCATCGAACACTTGGATTACAAATCATAACCATGACTTTATTCTCACGACCTTGCCATATGAATCCTTGCAAACAGAAGCCATGAGAAGCCAAGTAGTGGATGAATCACAAGCAAGCACACTGTGTCCCTTTTCTCATAGCACTAGTTTCCATCATTGACACTTCCGAAAGAACCGATAACGTGGTTCCTTTCAAGGTCAAGACATCATTCGTAGCATTCCTTGTTGCTTCATCACACTCCAATGCCTTCCTCGAGATCACACCATATATCTCCTCCAGAAGCCTCAGGAAAGCAGTCTCCACATTGTCCCCGCTAAGTGCTGATGCTTCCGAGAAGAAGAGTCCTTGTTCCTCTGCAAACTCCATGGCATCTTCAGTCGAGACGACCCTGCTCTTGGCAAGGTCAGACTTGTTGCCTATCAGCATGACAACGATGGAGTTGTCAGCATTTGCTCGCAGTTCGTCGATCCACCTCACGACATGGTCGAACGTCTGCCGTTTCGTGATGTCGTAAACTAACATTGCTCCAAGAGCTCCTCTGTAGTAAGCACTGGTGATGGCCCGGTACCTGCACAAGAAGACTTGATCATGCACACATACAAGGATTTTGTCTGTCTCAAGATTGTTAAGAAGTTAGAATTATACAAGACAACCATAAGCTTTTGGAAACAAGGGAACAAGTAACAAAAAAAATGGTCACAGTGCGATATGTTCTACTGATACAAAAGCTTAGAGAGCATCTCAGTGTTACCATAGGCAGATGGACCGAGATCAGAGTTTATGGTGGTAGTAAATAATCAACACTAGAGAAGTCATGAGTCAGTTTCACAGCATGGAAATATATGGATAGGAAAGGAGTACAGGGATCAAAAACCTTCATGACATACACTGGCTCATGACCCTACATGCTCGAAGAGTCCCACCTGCTACTCGCAGTGTAGTATGATGAACATTTCTGACATGATTCATGGGAACTGCCTAAGCTTCTTATATACAATATATGTATTTATTTAAAGCCCAGATGGGTCATAATTTATTTCAGTGCATTAGAACAACAGGGAACAAGCTAAGTTTCATGCTGCATGTGCAGTGTTCATCTACGCTAGAGAGGGCTTCCCTTCATAATGGAAGCATGTCTGTTTGTGTTGGACTGGGGTGGGTCAGTTCTATTAACTGCTGCCAGAAGATTGTCATTCACTGAGTAAATAATTCTCACTCAAGTATTTAGTACAAATCGGTTTCTTATAGACCCAATACAATCAATAGGTCAGGGGAGGTCAATTCTGACTCAAAAAATTAAGATTGAACATGATCATTTTCTTGGTAAACAATATGCACTCAAATATTTGGTAATGCTGTTTTCTTATTGTCCCAAAAAAGAAAAAAACGAAGGGCCAGGGAAGGTCACCTGTGACTCAAAAAATCAAGATTCAACCTGGTCATTTACTTAGCGAATAATACTGAATAATACTAGCTCAAATATTTGGTACAAGTTGTTTTCTTATAGACCCTAAAGAAAAACAAAGTGGGGAGAGGTAAATTCTGATTCAAAAACAAAGATTATTAGAGTTTCGGACTGTTTTGGGCTAAGTTAAAGACATATTCGGTCACCCACCATAAAAGGGTCAAATGGTGGCACCGTCAGACTGGGCTGTTGTACTACCCAAACATAGTCTCCCAGATTGTGTCAAGCGATGGCATCGCTAGTTTGGGTGGTGGTATTGCCCAAACACAGTTTCCCAAATTGTGTCAGGCAGTGGTACTGTTAGATTGCGCGGTGGTACCGTCCAGTGATAGTGCTACAAGCAATGATACCACCAAGACTTAGGAAACTCGGGATGAGATTTTTTTTTGGCTTCATTTTTTAAGCCAATTAGGGTCTGAAAATACCCCAGTTATTTCTGCTTCGAAGAGCATGAATTTAAGTAGAAAAAGAGGAAAGAATACTTGAGAAAAAAAATTAGAAACTCTCTTAGGATTTAGAGTCTCTTCCTCCTAGAGTTATAAGTTTTCTAAGGGAGGAATGAGGTCTAAAAAAGAGGTGTAAGAGGTTCTCTCCTGAACCTGTGAAAAGGAGAAAGTGTTGTAAGGGTAGTTAATCTTCGCCCGTTGAAAGAAGATCAGTAGTGGAAGTCGTTGGCCTCGAGTGAAGAGGAATCGGGAGTGGATGTAGGTCACGACGACCGAATCACTATAAATCTGGTTTCATTTATTTTATGCTTTTCGTTTATATTGTAAACTGATTTATCGAACGAGAATTTTTAAACCGACGTGATTTTATGAAAGCACTAATTCACCCTCCCCCTCTCTCAGTGCCGATACGGTCCTAATAAATAATACTCACTCAAATATTTAATACAAATTATTTTCTTATAGACCCCAAATAAAAGGATCATTAGAGTTAGGAGAGATAGATTCTGACTCAAAAATAAAGATTCAACTTGGTCATTAATACTCACTAAAATATTTGGTACAAATTATTTTCTTATAGACCCCAAAGAAAAAGATTATTAAGGCCAATTCTAACTCAAAAACTAATACAAGCTCAAATATTTGGTACAAGTTATTTTCTCTCGTAGACCCAAAAACAAGGATCACTAGGATCAGGGTAGGTCAATTCTGCCTCATTAACCAAGATTGGTACAAGATCATTAGGGTCAGGGGAGTAAGTCAATTGTGGGTCATTGTGATGCTTGTGAACCCAATGGATTTCCTTTTGTCATCAAGGAAGTCATATGCTTCACAAACCATCAAACATGTGAAGATAAAAAGATGGCGACGAGAACAACATCCACCGGTCTGTGTCACAGTCAACCAAACCCATACGCATCCTCTCATCATCATCAACAAGATCATGTTTTGATCCATCTTGTTTCTTATCAGGACCAAATGCACACTTGTGTAAGTGAAGTTTGATAGACAATGAATCAAACTGGAATCAGGTGCAATCTATGAGTTCCCGACTCCAAGAAAGAAAAAGGAATCTTAAAAGCTTGAGATTGAGATGGGGGGAGGGAGGGGGGGGTACCGCTCTTGGCCGGCGGTGTCCCAGATTTGGGCCTTGATGCGCTTGCGGTTGAGGACGAGGGTTCGAGTTTGGAACTCGACGCCGATGGTGGACTTGGAGTCGAGGAAGAACTCGTCCTTGGTGAAGCGGCCGAGCAACTGCGTCTTCCCCACCGCCGAGTCGCCGATCACGACGATCTTGAACACGTAGTCGATCTCCTCCGCCTCCCACTCCTCTCCTCTATCGTCTTCCCTGGTCATCATCGTCACCGCCACCACCACCACCACCACCTCTCCGCCTCCCGTTAGTAAGTTGGAGAGCTTACTACTTGACGAAGAGGGAATGCAGGCTCTATACAGCGCATTAGGTGGATTCTATTCATGATGTTGCCTTAAGACAGAAGGCTTATTATGTTAACAACACCCCCGCAAAGCTTCCATTAATTAATAGCTGAAGAGAATAAAATATTCATTCATTAGTAATGCATGGGATGATCATCTTTCTTTTTTTATTTTTTATTACAAACGATAATTGATCCTAAAATTTTATAATGATCTCATAAAATCTTTTCCAATTAAATTAACTATTATCATGTAAGAAGAATAATAGATTGAATTAAGGAGCGAGTGAGTCGTATACACTACGCTACACGACCGTCAGAACAACACTTGGGATGTAAAAAATCTATTTTTATCTTCGATATACTCATTCCTGTTTATCATTACTTTGTAATATTTTTTTAATTAATTAAATTATAGTTTAACCTAGATTATCACTCTCATTTCGCTTATCTCTATGAGCTAGCTAACTTCGCTAATTCACCTTGAGCAGATTGACGATGCACCTAATCTATTCACGTATCTTGACTCAAATGATGTGAATTAGCAAAGTTAACTAGCTTATCAAGATGTGATCCTCGAGTGAATAGATTAGGTAAATTAGCGATGTGATTAAACTAATGTTTAAGATATATATATATATATATATATATATATATATATATATATATATATATAATCTCGTATTTTGATGATGAAACCACTTGATATATGTTTATGATTTAATCTGCATTTTGAGTGATGCAAGATACTTCGATCAGGATGAGACAATTAAAGTAGAAAAATCATGTTGCCCCGGAGAAACATGTCAGAAGATTAGACGTCGGGCCGGTGGATCGGTCAACGTATCGACAAAAGGCTTCGGGCCGTGGATTCGGGCATTGGGCCAAGAAGAGCGGGTATTGCACCAAGGATATCGGAGTTGCGGAGTCAACTGGCCGATTGGGCAATAGGCCGCAAGAGAGGACGATGCACCGAAGAATCAGATGAAGCGTCGAGGGACCAATGACATGCCAGACAACTTGATTGCTTAGGAGTAATTATCTAGATCGAAGTTTTGCTTTACTTATGCAGGATTAACTACGATAGCTTGAAGACATAAAGCAAGTCTACCGAAGTCAAGTTTGATGGGTGTTCAAGAGTCCGCCAAGAGTCCGAAGATTCATCGGAAGTGCTGCCGGAACCAACCAAGAAGGAATTGGGGACTTGCCGAAGTTTTCAGAAGTCCGCCGGAGAGATCATCGGAGGTTCGCGGATATCACCGAGAAAGTTCGACTACTTGCTAAAGACTCACTGAACTTGCCATAAGATCAAGAGCCTACTGAGAGTCCGCTGGAAGAAATCCGAGAGTGTATCGGAAGTCCGCCGGAAGTTTGCTGGAAAGCTCGCTAGAAGGAATCTCGACATTGCTAATTAAAAACCTGCTTAGGACTATCTCTTAATTTTGTAGTTTGTATGTAATTAAGGTTAGGATTAAGAGTTAATCCTATAATCTGGTTAGGGGCCAATTGGGCCCGAATTTAGACTAGTTTGGGCTAAGTTTGGAGCCCAACCAGTGATATAAAAAGTCCAGGCAGTGGCATCGCCTAGCACCCGAGAGGTCCGACGGTGGCACCGCCAGCACCAGAAAACCCAAAAGCAATTCAAATTTGGAGCCAAATTTTGAATCATCTAGAGGCCTATAAATACCCCTCAATTCTTAGTAGAGAACACAACCTTTGAGAAGTTAGAGATTGAGATAAAGCCTTAGCAAAGCCTTTAGCAAGTCTTGTTTTCAATAGCTTAAGTGTTCACCTCCCTCTTTCTCTTTGAAAAATCTGTAAGAGTGTGAACCACTTGTAAAAGGTTGTAAAAGGGGTATTTGTCCTTCCTCTTCAAAGTGATTTACTAGTAGAAGTTGAGAGCCTCATCGAAGAAGGCTTCGTAAGTGGATGGAGGTCATTTGACCGAACCACTTTAAATTAGTGTGTTCCTTGAATGTATGAGTGTTTACCTTTCTGAAACCTTTATTTACATAGCAGCAAGCTTTTGGTTTTCATCTCCTTACTTTACTCGAGTTACTTTTACCAAGTCATTCTTTGTCGAATCGAAATCTCTACGCATTTACGAAATCGTTTTCAAACTTACGAGTTTTAATCTGCTGCATTAATTCATCCCCTCCTCTTAGTGCCACTCCGATCCTAACAATTGGTATCAGAGCCATGGTTTTCTACTTTGGTTTAACACCCAAATAGAAATGGCTCTTTTCGGCCTTTAAGAGGGTTACTCTCTCATTCGTCCTCCCTTTTTCAATGGGATGGACTACACTTATTGGAAAACTCGAATGAGAGTTTTCTTACTTTCTTTGGATTTGAATTTATGGCACATATTCGAAAATGGATTTGAAATGTCATCTCTTCCAATGAACCATTGGAATGATTTGGAGAAGAAGATGTTTTCTCTAAATGCAAAGGCTATGAATGCCTTATATTGTGCACTTGACAAAAATGAATTTAATCACGTTTCGAATTGTAATTCGACTTTGGATATTTTGAGAACTCTTGAGGTCACTCATGAAGGCACTAGTCAAGTGAAAGAGTCCAAAATCAATATTCTTGTGCATTCTTACGAACTTTTTCGGATGAAACCAAGTGAGTCCATCGGAGACATGTACACCCGTTTCACGAATGTCATCAATGGACTCAAAGCTCTTGGTAAAGATTTTTCTAACTTTGAATTAGTAACTAAAATTCTAAGATCCCTTCCAAACAGTTGGGATCCAAAAGTTACGGCTATTCAAGAGGCCAAGGATCTTAAAACATTTCCACTCAAAGAACTAATTGGGTCTCTAATGACCTACGAAATGAACAATGTGACAAAAAGGAAACTCGAGAACAACCTTCCAAAGGACAGGAAGGATTTGGGACATAGAACACATGAAGACCACTTGAGTATAAGCTCAAGTGATGGTGAACTTAAACTATAAATGAAACAAAAATTAAAAAGCAAAAAGAACGGAACTACTTATTTTGAATGCAAAAAGAACAAAAATTAGGATGAATTGAGCTCCTCCGAAGATGAGGAGAAAATCAAGAAAGGTGAGATGACAAACTACACCTCAACGGTATTCAACGATGAGGTAATCGAAACCCCCTTAATTTATTTTGAAATTATTTGATGTTTTCCATGATGTATTTTCTTTTTTTTGAATAATCATTTTTCTTGAAAAGTGCATGTTTTATGTTAATGGAATAAAATGTTAGATTTAAATGTAATGATCATATGTATGTTTTTCTTAAGAAGAAAAAATGTGTATCTTGATGATTTCTGATTTTGATTGTAAACATGCTTGATGTCTTAATGAAAATATTAAGAAGTTTAATATCATGCTTAATGATGATGTATGGCTTTTGTATGGAAAACCAAGCATGAAAAGATAGATTCACCTAAAAAGAAAAATGCATGACTACAATAAATAACAAATGATTTTGGTTGAAAATACCTTATGCTCAATGAAACCATGATTGATGTATATGCTTTATATTTAATGATTTCTTTACCTCATATGTCCTATCATGATGAATATTTTGAAAATAAATGAAATCATGTTTGATTTGAAGAAATGCATAATTATCATGCTTAATGAGTTTTCTTTCGAAATGATGCATAATGATTTTTGTGATTTATGGATTATCGATTTTTATAATAATAAAAGTGGCTTTAAAAATAATGCATGTTTTGATTTGATATAAAAGAAATAGGCATGCTTGACGATTGATGATTGTATACTTTAAAAATGATGATTGACGATTGTATACTTAATGATGCATAAAGTTGTAATGAAAATATTAAAATTTTGATATCATGATTTGATGATTTTATATATGAGATTTTAAAGTTATACATGATGATCTTTATGGTTTATTGATCTTGATGGTTTTTATGAAGAAATTTATTTTTCGATCCTAAACGTTGATGCATATTTTTATTTGACATAAATGAAAAAGGCATGCTTATACAAAATCAATCACTTAAAAAGTATCACATAAAAAGGAAAATATATTATTGGGTTTAAAATCATGAATCTATTTATGAATTTTGTGAACCTTGAAATTGATTTTAATGGTTTGAATCTAATGGGTTTTATCGAAATCACGATCTTGATCTTTTGAAATTTATAACATGAAATCCTTTATGAATCAAGATTTCTTACTCTTTATTCTCTTACATTTTGAGAAAATTTTCAATATGAATCATAAGAGTTCTTATGCATGAATTGAAATCTTTTTCTCCTATGTTTCCTTTTGTGATTTACTAAAGAGAATATCTTTTTTTTTTTAATTCTTGACTTAAAATTTTATTTGAAAATCTCGTATTATTTGATCTCCTAAGATCTCTCTTTGAATATTTAAAGAGGAGAATTTTCTAGATGAATCATGATTTTGATGATTGAATATTTGATATGCTTGAATTAATATCTTATTCTCCTACAAAATTGAATGAATTTTATCTATATCATGATCTCCTAAGATTTTTTTTTATTATTTAAGATGAGACTTTTTCAAAAGAAAACATGTCTTTTGGTATTGTCTTTTCATGATATGATTTTTATGTAATTCCTTATATTTATGAAATATTTATCTCATCACCCAATAACTCTTCTTGATATTCCTCATGTGATGATATGAATACATGAAATATTCATTAATTTATTTTGATGTATACAAATAAGAAATTTCGATCATGCATGGTAGAATGTAATTTGATAAAATTGGTACCATCATGATATGAAATAAATGATGATTTGGAATTATGTATGTAATGATGATTTTACATTTTATATACATGATGATTTGGAATTATGAATGCAATACTTTAACTTATGATAATGAAGCATGCAATGATGAAATATTTATGATAAAATAATTGTTTTGATATTCATGACTTAAATTTTCATGTATGCTATTTACCTTTGTCATAATTTTGAAATTAACGTAAAGGGTCTTCCCTTCTTTTTGCCAATGACAAAGGGGGAGAAAGAGTTACTAATGTGCTATCTTGAATTGATGTTAAGGGTCATCTCAAAAAGA